CCTCTGTCCCCCGGGTGGCCTCGGCATCCTTCTCCTCAGCCAAGCCCAGGATTTCCTCGTTGCTCGTTAAATGCTCCTGGCTGAGGTCAGAAAGTGAAAACTCCAAGCTGTCTTCACGCCAGATGTCGGCCGATTTGGAGCGCTTCTTCTTGAAGCTGGCTGTCTCCATGAAGTTCGTCCCGTTGGCCGTGTATCGATGTGACCTCCCGTCGCCCTCCGCCAGGAATGGCGGCTCGTCCCCGTAGAGCCTGCTCTCCTCCGAGTCGGGCATGCTCTGGACTGAGGCGGCGGTGAGGACGGTGCTGCTGTCCACACTGGGGGTGACGGAGGAGTCGGTGTGGTAGGAAACGGGCCGCAGGCCCATGTCCACACGGTCCACCCAGATGGGGCTTCCAAAGTCCTCTAGGTTGGCCTCCTGGGCGAAGGGCTCCAGGCCATTCTCCGCCAGGGACTGGGGGATGCTGGGGGTGCTGCTGGAGCGGGTGCTCACTTCTGAGTTACGGTGGATAATTTTTCCGGAAGAAGCGTGCCGCGTCCGGCGAGAGGCTTTATTGGAGAGGCGAAGTGAGCGGGAAGTGTGCTTGCGGCCCAGGCTGGCGTGCTTGTCTCCGTAGAAGGCGTGCTCCACGCTCTGGCTCTCTGCGTTTCCCATGGCGTCACAGTCTGCAAGGGGAGAGAGCGGGGACCGTTAAAGCCAGCAATCAAACACGCAGGCAAGAAGACACACGGACGCCCCAGTGCACCCAAAAGAGCTTTTTTCTTTTTTTTTTTTTTTTTTTTAACAAACCTGTCCTGAAACCTACACCACAGCTTCCCCTGGGTCTCGCAGGATGTGCTTTAACAGCAACAACTAAGCCCACACAATTAATTAAGGGAGCCAGCGACTGTACCAGCAAACTTATAAATACAACTCAGTTAAATCGGTACGTAGGAAAAAGGCAGACCATAGCTATGCTGGTGTACATGAAGAGTGTAGAAGAGGGAACGGTTGAACCTTGAAGCTTGGTCCGAACTGGAGCCAGTTTACCACCAAAGTGCACCAGCAACGACAGCTCTGCCACGCGTTCGCTTGACTCCTAGTATTAGCTACTCCTTTGCAATTCCAACCAAGGCTACAAAAAATCAACAACTATTGTTTATCTGCATGTAACAAGATGCCAAAAAGTAGATGGATATATGCCTTTATCTGACATTTCACTTTTTTTTTGCTAGGAACTGCAAATTGAAGCACCAAATAGCAAAGTACAAATTCAAGTGTTCGGCGGCAAGCTAATGATAGGTTTGATTTCTGGAACAAAAAAACAGTGCAACATTAAGCAGGTACAGCGTGCCCCACACAAGAAAGCCATATTATGAAAAATAAATTAGCATGAGTGACTCAGACTATACAAAAATAACCTTTCCTTCCTACTCACTGTGAAGCAGATAGCTAGATCTATGCGCTTTGATCTAGCAAAGAGACAAGGGAGCTGGAATGCAGGGACTGGGTTTCTGTCCCCATCCCAGTACCTAGCCTCCTGCATTATTCAGTTGCGCACTTCCCACCATGAAAGAGGTTTCCCATCCAGAAGATGGGAGTGATGATCTGGATTCAACCTTGGAAAACACTCTGAGGTCTGTGATCTCACTCAACAAATGTCAGAAATATTTTATCAGTAGTACTGGCTCCTTCTGGGCAAAGATCAAGAAGAAGAACAAGAAAAGTAAATGTTAAAGTACATGGCCATTCAAAATTAAATAGGAGATCATGAATTACATGCAAGACAATTATATCTAGATAAATAGTCCATAAAACCTGAACAGAAATTCCAAGACAACACTTCCTCATTTTGAGGTATTTCTGTTAGTCTTGGTTGGGGGGGGCAGGGGGGAGCTGCCCTGACAGTAAAATAATCTGGAGTTTTTCATTTCTTGGGGCAATTTCCTCTCCTTTCACAGGATGCGCCGATGGGTATTGAGCCAGATGCTAGTAGAATGAACGTGATTGTGTATTTTCCCTCACTGCCTAAATACACACTGTCGCTGCTGCACAGAACTGAATTAGCCCTACATAAATTACATAGAAAGTGAGAAATGGATTGTGCTAAACGCAGGCACAGCAGTTCTGCTGTAGGCTACCCTGGGCACATACGGTGGAACTGAACTTCTGCAGTGGATACCTCTGACCGCAGTCAGAGGGCTGCGCTTCTCTGCTCTTCTACCAAGCTAAGTAGGTTGTGTCTGAAGCTAAAAATCTGTTCACTGCTGGAGCAACAGGCACTTCCATAAATATCTGGACATTTCGGTATCTAAAATAAATATAATCGCATGTCAAGTAAACTATACCAGGAAATACCCTATGTCTACTGAAATTAATGGCTGAACTCCCATTGACTGTCATGAGACTTGGTTATCATGCATTGTTTAGAAAAATAAATGTGCTGAAGAGAGGGCAGGTTTTAATCTAAAAAAAATGGAAGCATCATAAATCCCTAGACAGGGTTTATTATTCCTTAAAAGCTACAGCCCTTTGATAAGGACTGGACTGAAAAACAAACGCCAGCTAGCTTTTGCTTCTAAAACATTTTATAGCACAAAAACTGCATTTTGCCTTCCACACTGATGTCTGAAACCAGACCTCGACACTCCCCATCTTGCAAAAGAAACCCTGTCGGGGTAACGCTTTTAGCTGCTTTGATTCAGATTCTTGCTAACCACACTTTCGTGCAACAGGATTTCCACCATCTGCAAAGCCCATCAGAGCATGCAACCATTCATCCCCAGTCTCCAGCCATGCAGCCATCACTTCAGTACCTAGCTAAGGTGAAAGAGCAGTTTTAAAAGTCCTCTTGAAAGCCTGAGTGATTGAAGGGTGGCTCTTTACCTTCAGAAACAGAGCTGCCGAAGGGCAGGATCACTCCCCGCACACCGCACGGCGAGGCACGCTTGCTGATGAAAACATCGGGCAGCGTGGCTACGGAAAGCAGCCCTGTGCCACTATCCTGATGTAGTCTCCATGCACACCGGGCAACATTTCACCCTGCCAAAAAGTAACAGAACCACAAAAGACTTGGCGAGGAAAGGAGCAGCAGCTCAGGCTGCGTCCCGTGAGGAAATAACGCTGCTAGAAACACTCTCACTGGAAGGAGGAAAGGCTTTTCTCCGGCTGACGGCAGCAGGAATGTTGACTGAGCAATTTCACACAATGAGAAGTATCTGCTAGATACTGGCAAGAAGTGTCAGACTTCAAAGTAAAGAGCTGTCCCTTTTTAATTCCGTGGATCGGCGCTTTAGGGGAGGACACGTTTGCAAATCCCGCAGACGGCTGGCTATCCCGGCGATTAGCCCACACCGCGCTCCTGCGCGCAGGAAGGACCACTGAAGAGGCCTTACCCTAGCACCACTGATTTCCCCGGCGCTACGTTGCAGGCTTGCACGACCTGTGTGGTGGGCACACGCGGCCGCAGGCCGGCACGGTGCAGCGGATCCAGCCGCAGCGATGCAAGACGGCGACATCCCCGCAGTTTGTCACCGTCCCCCGCCAGATGCCAGGAAATGGGGGGCACAACAGGCTGAGCCCACCTCAGTGAAGGGTGGGCCAACACCACCGGGTCAAGCTGAGGGTGCCCAAGACACATGGCTCCACCCCGAAGGGACCCCCTTCCTACCTTCTCACCCCCATTTTTACCTCCCCTTTGCATTTCTGACTGAGCATTTCCACCAGCTACCCTCAACCAAAGCAGCTGCTCCTGCCGCTGAGTCCATTAAGACAACAGAAGATAAACAGGGGGTGTGGGGAGGGGCGAAAAAAAAAAAGACGACTTTATTTATTAGTTTAATTTTGCTGGGATACTGAATGCAACTGGCACGTGCCAGAGGCAGCACAAGGGTGCCCAGCTGGGGACACAGCGGGGTGAGGATGCGGCAGCATGGCCGGAGGGCGACGCGGGAGCCGTGGAAGAGGGGGCAGCGAGCGGCACTTCCCCCATTTTTTGGCAGCAATGAGCAGTTAGGTCAGCTCAGGCAGATGCGGACAGGCAGCCCTGAAACATGTGAATTCACAGTGAAGCAGATGCCAGCATCCTCAGCTATCAGGAGCAGGCGCAGGGGAGGGGAGCCCCAACCGCCCCCTCTCAGGGGCAGCGGCAGACACCCTGGGGCAGAAACGTCTTAAACTGCTCCAGCTACGACTGCCAGATGCTGCCTGTCTACTGCTTAACTGAATTTAGCACACTCAATGAAAAAAATCTGTATCAAATTAAGAAAATGAGTAATGTTAATGGGAGTTGCACACAAACGCTGGTAGGACAAAGGCTCCCCTTGTTAGCTCACCCGTCGAATCCAAAGGTGACCATTAAAGACCTATCAAGGTACCACCAGGACACAACATAAATCAAGCGGGACACGTCTTGATGCTTTAAACAGGTCTGTTGCGCTCAGCCAAGGATTGCGACGTGTCAAAAATCTGTTCTGAATTATTCTCTGAAACGAGCAGAGATTAGCGCACACAGACCATGCGTTACAAGCAGAACTAGCTGGAAATTTTTCAGCAGAAAATGTTGATTCATCAAAACCCAAACTTTTCATGGGAATAGACCGCTTTTGATAAAAGGCTCCTCCACTCGAAGAGGGAGAGATTTGAAAACCAAAGCGGGGAGATAGGCACGTCTCTCGGATGAGGCAGCAGCTCGGTGACTCAGTCACTTGCCGAAGACGCGGAAGATCAAGATTTGTATCTGCAGCCCAAGTCAGGCAAACGAGGGGTGGCAGCTTGTTCCTCCACATCCTCAAGAGGTGGCCTGACCATCGAGCTATCAGCTGCTCTGGGAAAGGGCTCCTTCTCCCAGAAGATCTGTTCCTTGCTGGTTCAGAGCAGGGAAAATGTCAAAATTGTGGAAGTATTCAAGGGGCCAGGAAAGTCACCTTTTAGCCAGCTTGCATGTCAAGAGACAGTACAGGGATTTGAGTGGGGTTTTTTTAAACCAAGACTTAAGATTGATATCAACATTAGGATACCAGCAGGGAGAACACAAATTCTGCAGGAAAGCTTTGGAAAAAAACAGTGTTTCCTACATCCCCTACCCTAGACAGACAGGCTGAACTCTAGCTGAACTGCTGAGTTTTTGCTGGATGAGTCTTATATGAAATGGTTACACATGAAGCTGATCACATTCTAGATGACCACTGACGGCGGCCCCATGAAAGAATATCGTTTTCTTTGAAAACTGTCATTTTCCTTTATCTTCCCATTCCCTGATATTAAATATTTCTTAAAATAATTACAAAACCAAAATACTCATTTCAACTAAACCCAAGTTGCTAACTCCCAAACTTGCAAAAAGTTGGGCCTTTAGATTCCAGAAGAAAATCTGAAATATATTAACTTTCCAACCAAATTTGAAGCACCTCGCAAGACAACAGATTGCAAATTTAAAATTAGATTCTAGTGGGAGGCCCTGCTGACAAATCTGTATTTTTCTGCTGGAGCAGAGCTTGAAGGCTGTGAGAACCAGAACAATGATTAAATCCACAGTGTGCAATGAGCCTACAGAAATAAACTTTTGCTAAAATCTGCCAGCCAACAACAAAGATTTTTACTGAACTCACAAGAACCACACAGAAAAATGTACAAGACTAATAACCAAGTGTGAATGTACACATTTTATTGTAATTAAAATGTGCTTTTTCAAAAGGGCAAGAGAGAGGCTGTAATTCCACAGTAAGCCTTTGAGCTTCTTGGAAACTCCGGCAGCATATTTAATTGTTTTCAAATCAGAACCTTTTAACCAGCCATTTCTTTTTTCTAAGCTGCTCTTGCATGTGTTAAACCGCGGGATGGACTCCAAAAAGGTCCTGCAGGCAATTCAAATAAAAGGAGGAGAGAGGGAGGAAGGGATGTCATCAGTAGCTGCTTGATAGCCATTCAAATGCCTTTGTATTGCTAAACGGCTGTAACCATCAACCACATGCAGCTTATCAAATTTTTCCCCTCCCGCGAACCATTATACAACACAGCAAACTCCTAAAGAAAAATATATGGACACACATGTACCTTCCGAGGCAGTACTGGTATCCAGCGCAACCTTCCCCAAGAGAGCTGTGGCATTTAGAGGTATAGAATTGCAAATGATACCAAAATGAACAGTTACTGGGACTGCAGAAGCTGTCAGCACCTGCCACTCAGCGATTCCATTACTCTCACGTCAGAGTCTATGACTACATGCCAAAAACCTGGGGAGAAAGAGGGGAGAAAAAAAAAAAAAAAAATCAGACAAAGGGTTAGG